GAGCAGTTTCAGATGCTGGGGACACAGCAGTGGACAACACAGACAGAGGTATATATAGGGTGGTGGTTAAGATGGGAGTTTCACACTGTTCTTAGGACCAGGCAGGGGATAGAAACCAGTGGAACAGGTTGGGGGGTAAAGACGACATAGAAATGTGTTGTTTTTTTTTTGCAAATTAAACTTGTTGGAATAGATTTGTGCATCGATTTTCACCTTGAAAGATGTAGGCCCCTTGGTTTCATTTTGGTTTTCTACTTTTGATACAAAAATATTTCTCTACTATGGAAAACACAGCAGGTGTATGTGATGCTAAATGGCAACTGATGCTTGGCTTCGGTGTGTAAGGGAGGCAGTAGGGTGTGGTGGGGACTGTGGCAAATAGGTTGGGAGCACCACTTGCGGCTGATTATGTGCAAGTGTAGGCCCAGGGCTCTCAGATTGTCAACTTTTTTTGGAGAGAAGTTGAAAATTTAGATTTTACGTTAAGTCACTCAAGTTTTAAACAGTTGGATCAAAGTTGAAGAACATAATGTGAAGAGCACATTAATAAAACTCATCTGTGTGTCAGATCTGGCTGGTGAGCCCCCAGTTGGCAACCTCAGGCTGAAGGTCATTAATTTGAGAGTCAAAGATGCTGTTTCAGAGCCTATGTCATGTCGCCTTTCAGCTCTGAGGTTGTGGGCAAGCCAGAACACCTCTCAGAGCCCCCCTTCCCCCCTCTGTAAAATGAGATTTCTAAAAACAGCATGGTTCCCAAGCCTCTTTCTAAGCTGGTATTTTCCAAACAATGGGTTCCGAAATTGATTTAGTGGATTGGGGCCTGAATCATTTGAAAACAAAATAGAACAGGATGGGAAAAAGGATGCCTTGTAGTAGTATGGGCAGGCATTGCTTCGTGAAACACATCTTGGTTCTACGTATACACACATGACAGATTTACGTGTGTGCAATACACACGCATGCATGTCTGTGTTACTGGGTCTTGATGTTATGTGCGTTTCTTGTGGAGGAGTGCAGTCAAAAAGCTGTTCATGTTTGAATGCATTCTGTGCTGGGATTGTGAGGTTGGTTCTATGGTCACCCCCACTTTACAGCTGAAGAGCTGGGGTTCAGAGAAGTGATGTTCTTACAGGGAGAGCTGAGATCTGACCCAATGCCCACATCTTCACCATCATGCTACCCTTCCTCTCCAGACAGGGCCATGGGAGGTTGTGAGGATGAAATGAGTTCATGTAGGTTAAGGACTTGGCCCAGTGCCAGGGACATAGTAGGTGCTTAGTAAATGTTAGAAGCAGGACTTGTAATTGCAGCTTTTCATTTAACCACACCAGCTGGCCAGTAGGATTCCAGGGCTTTGGGTCTCTGTGGCCCAGATGCCCATGATGTGGGGTGGGGGCTGCAAGGGCAAACAGACTTCCTCGCCGCCTATAGCCAGAGTTCACCAAATACTCTTTTTTTTTTTTTTTTGCCAGATACTTAATGATGGAATTTAAAAAACAGTATTTGGCTGAAGCCAGCTTATCAGCATCCTCAAATGAATTTTTGGATATAAAAATAAATCCCCCCCAATTTTCACACAATTTAAACTATTATTACAATCACATTATAAAAAATTGGAGCAGGCAACTTTTAAAGCTGGCCAGGAACAAGTCTTTCCAGCCCTGTGGTGCCGGATTGTTCCTGAGGTCACCGCAGTGCCCATTTGCCTCCCGGCATAGACACTGCTCTCTCCTGGGATCCCCACTGTGGACGGGGCGTGTCAATTCCTCACTGAAGCCTGGGCACGGCCTGAAGAAGATGCTTTCGGAATCCTTTGAAAGGCAGCCCTGCCTTGTTTCTCGGCCCGACTTCAGGAGGCACCTGCGGGCGGCTGGGCCCGGCGGCGGGGTCGCACTGCCCTCTGGTGGTCACGAGAGAGTATAGCTCCGCCTACACTTAGGGGGCACCATGGGGGCTCAAAGCGCCGTGGGCAGAACGGACTGCAGATCCGTGCAACAAGTTGGAGGCATCTCAAAAAACCTCATGAATGAACGAAGCCAGGCACAGAAGGGTATACTTTCTGTATGGGTCCGTTTATATGAACGAGGTCAGGTCAAACTAGGTGACAGAAACCAGGAGAGGGGTGGGATGTGGGTAAGAGGCTGGGAAGGGCTATAGGGGAGTTTTCTGGGGGCCTGGAAACGTCGTGTCTTCCATCTTGATCTGGGGGTGGTGGTTACCCACGGGGTAATCACACGTAAAAATACATCAAGATGCATATTCAGGCTTTGTGCAGTAGACTGTGTGTAGATTATAAAATGAAATTAGAAAATCCCCTTTCAGTTCATGAGGAAACTCATGACAAGTTGTTTTTCACCGGACACGCTGCCTCCATCCTTCCCCCTCCAAACCATTCTGCCCACAGCAGCCAAGGTGATTTTTTAAAAATGTAATTCAGATCATGCCACTGTCCTGTTTAAAACTCTCTGGTGTTTTTCTCGTTGGATTTAGAATAAAATTCAAACTCCGTGATCCAAAGGGTCCAACCAGACCTGGTCCGGCCTTGCCCTCTGAGCCCTGGCCTTTGTCCTGGCCTCCAGCCACTCTGACCTCCTTTCTCTCCCTCCAGCTGGAAATCTCCCTCTTGGTCGCCCTGAAACTCAGTACTTCCTGTGCCTCTCCCTGGAATGCTGTCCCCAGCTTTTCTCATCATCCTAGTCTGAGCTCACATGCCCCCTCCTCAGTGGTGACCAGCTATCCACAGCGCCCCCATGTGGTTCCGGTTACCCACACAGCATCACCCCAGTGCTTCCTTCCTGAGGAAAGCAGCCTCCATTGCTGACGGAGCAATGCCACGCGGTGTATTCTGAAAGTCAAAATCTCCACCAACAAAAAGACCTGCCATGTTTATTAGTGGGAAAAACACAGGGACCACTTTATAGAATGAATGCTTCGCGGCACAGATACACAGGTCTCTTCCAAATGGATGCTCTCAGGACCCCTTTCAACTAGTCTTTTTGAAGTTGGCTGACTTAGGCCTCCAAGATCCACCTTCTCCTCCCCACTGAAGGCCACACAGCCCCTTCTCCCCTCCTGACCTCCAGGCAGTTCTTGGAAGGGGACCGAGGTTGTGGCTCAAGGGGGAAGCCAGCCTGTGACAGGGTGTGTGAAGGAACCGGGTGTGTGTGCTGGTTTCCTGCTCTGGCCGGCCCTCTCCGCCTTTCTTCTCGAAGGACAAGGCTGGTGAGTGAGAAAGTCTGGGTCTCACAGTTGATCTGCCTGCTTCCTGGTGGGTTCCCTGTGCGGGAAAGTCAACTCCATGAGGGTCAGGACTGACTCTGTCTGCATCCGGAAGTCAAGAAGAGTGCCTGGTAAATAGTTGACTCCGGGTTAACTGGGTAGGATGCTCTGAAACCTGACAGGGCTTTCCCAGGTGTCCTCAACCCTGGGAGACCGTTGAGAACACCACTGCCCTACTTTGGTACTGGTGGCTCAGTGGGGCCAAGGCTTCCTGGGATGGTGCAAGGAGGAGGCTGCCTCATTTACAGAACTGTTTTCCTCATCTTTTGCACTAGCACCATGGGGCCCACAGGGAAAGGGCTAGCGTCGTCATTTGGGGGAAAACCGTGACTAGAAACAAGCTCCATCTACCCATCAAAACATCTACCCGCTCATTGATCCACTCGCTCATCCACCTAACCATCTATCTATCTTTCCATAAAACCACACAACCATTCACTCATCCAAACAACTATCCATCCATCCATCCACCTCACCACACAACCATTTGGTCATCAATTCAGTCATCCATCCAATATCAATCCACCCATATGCTCTCTATATAAAACCATCCATCTAGTCACCCCAACATAGTTATCCATCCATTTATCCATCCATCTGCCAATCACCCAGCTAGCCATTCACCTTCCAATTCTCAACCATCCAATCAATCATCTAACCAACCATCCATCCACCCAGCCAACTATCTAACCATATATTCACCCATTTGTCCAAATGTCTCTCTGTGATTCCAGTTATACTTCCATCCTTCCTTCCATCTCATCTATCATGGGATTCCAATTTGTGCCAGCATCCCCTCTGTGGATGGATTCCAAGCACATCACTCTGTGCTTGATTCTGGGGTTACAGAGACGAAACCAAAAGAGCCTGCGCCCAGGGAGCTCAGCGTCTAGTGGGGGAGTCTATCTCCTCCTTGGTCATGACTTCCTATCCATCAGAGATTCTAGCTCTGAGACTCCAATTCCCGAATCATCTCCCATCTCCACGGACATGGATACACCAGCCAATCAGTAACCCTGGATTTCACCAGCATGGATAGAGGGAGGAGCCCATACTTACGTTTAGCATCTAATCAGATGGGTCCAGGCCCTGCTGGCAACTCTATGGGCAGCAAAAGTGCTCAGATGTCCCCAGAACTTCTCCAAATGTCCCTCCCTGCCCCATCCACTGGATCCTTGGCTCACCCACTGGAAAATGACGTCTTATCACAGGAATGGAAATTGGTTGCATTTCCTAGCCCAACTCTAATTTCCCCCCATTCTTTTAGTAACAGCCCACTGATTTTTCCTTTGGGTGACCAGCTCTCCCAGCTTTCTGCTCATGAGGGATCAAACCCCGAATCCAGCTCCATGGCTAGCCTTATGACTCAGACTTGGCCAATGAGACACAATCCTGGGGCTTTTTGTCAGAAACTCTTTGCAGGAAGTGCTCTCTCTCTCTGTGCTGGTGTGGTTTTGCTGAAAGATTTGTGGCGCCATCTTTGCCACACAGAGACGAGCCTGCCTGAGAAGTAAGACCATTCAGAAGAAAGTAAATAGTTTGATCGCCTGCATCCAACGATGCCTGAAGACAGATATCACCTAAAGTTTCTGAAGGCTTCTTTTTTTTTTTGGCTTCAGCCAGTTTGAGTTAGATGGTATTCCTTTGCAACTGAGGTTCTGGAAAGACGAACACACTCAGAAGCCTCAGGAACGGTCATCAAGTAGTGACACCCTACTCACTTCAAAATGTAAACGTGGCTTTATTTAATGCCTTTTATCTGTCACAAAGTACCGCCTCCTCCCCAGGGTCCCTCTTCCTAGAAAACAAGATGGCAGCATAAGGCACGTGCACTGTCCACATGACATCAGGTTAGGTCATTAAAAACAAAAACAATAGATAGTCTTCCCGACAGCCCCGAATCGCCTCCCTCACCAATTGTTCAAAAATGATTGTCCCCCCAAAGCACAACTTGGAGCAGAGTGCTTAAATTAGAACTGTGCACCACCCCACACGCCAGTTTTTTTTTTTTTTAAAACCAAACCAAACCAACGACTAAGAAAACCAACAACACAGGTACGAGAGCATAATACCGGAGTAATGCGATTAGTCCATAAATTAAAAAGAAACAAAACAAAACAAAACGACGAGCCTGTCCCCTCCTCATCACCAGCCCTCCCCCAAATCAGCAATGCCTTGCTTTTGTTCTGTGAGTCTAGTAGAAAAGTCTGGACTCTGAGCCAGCTCTTCTCCCCAAAGTTAAATATTCCAAAGCCGCTGCTGGGGACACTGCTTCTCAGGATCCTCGTCGGGACGGAAAGGCCAGCTTCTGCGATGGTCACCAGACACGTCCTCTTGGCTGCAGGGACCCTGCCCAGTCAGTGTCCAGCATCTGGCGGGAGGCGGGGAGGGGCGGAGGCAGGTGGCGATGCGGCGGGGTCTGCTATAGATACTCCAGCTCCAGGGCGTGCCTCAGCGCCTCCAGGTCGGCGTGGCAGGATATCCGCCAGAAAGGCATGTTGTGCTGGAACACACACCACCAGCCACGGGGTTAGTTATGGTCCCGCTCCGCGCCCCCCTCCCCCACGGCAGCCCCCTGGATGCCGCGCCCATAGCTAGAGCCTTATGAGACGTCAGCTGGGGTCAGCAGAGCGTGAGGGCATTTTCCAAACTGGGAGACACATAATGTCATCGGGCAAATCCCCACCCGGCCGGTACCCACCAGTCTGGCCACACCGGGTCTAGTCCCTCTGCGCCTGTTCTGATTGGCTCGTCCCGAGCTGCCAATCAGCCTGTCTAACCCTCTCCCCTCCATTGGAATCAGTGTGGAATTCAACTGCGCAGTAAGAGAGCTCTTCCTTTTTAAACATGTGTTCCTAGTCTTGCTAGTTCAAGGAGCAAGTCTCAGGTCGGTGCTGGGGTGTCTTTAAGCCTCCGTACCATTTGCTAGTCTCCATCTGAACAGACAGGGCTGGTGCCAGAGTGTTGGGCAGGCGCAATGGTGAACAGGATGGCCATCAGTTTCTTTCTTTGTCATTTTTGTTTTTATCGTTCCCTTTTCTCTATAGCAGGTGATGCTCACTCTGCGTTACTGTCATGGGATCAAGTTTTCAATTCTAAATAGAAGTGAGGTGTTTGAAAGGACCACATTGAGTAGATACTGGAATAGGCGGTATACAGACACAACAAAAGTTGCGACTGGTGTAAGAAGTGGTGTGTTAATGTGGATCCTGGCAAGACATCACTGAGATGGAGAGAGAAATCTGTGAGCTAGTTCCATAGCAGGAGGGTTAGACGCAGAATGCCCTGTCCCAAGCTTTGCTCTGCCGCCATCAGCCGGGTGACCTCAGACAATGGACTCTGCTGCTTGTCTGTAAAATGGGGATGATATTTGCTGTGTATGACTGTTGTGGCTCCTCGCGGTGCTGGCACATATACCAAGTGTTCAATAGATACAGCTGCTATAATGATTGTCTACGCACACAGGACAGATCTCATATAAATATGAGACAAAGTCACACAGGATGCAGGGCAAACTGGCGAGGTATGTGAAGGGATGAATTTGGGGGTTTTCAGTAGTTTAACAAATAACAAATAAGACTACGTCATGAGGACTTACAAAATCATTAAGGTCGGTGTAAATAAAATGCGGGAGCCGACAAGAGGAAGCAGCCTCCCTTTTGGTGGCAGAGAATGGGGTGGGGCTGGGACAGGTGTCCCAGAGAACGAGGGGAGCATGGGAGCTGAGCTGTGAAGGATGAATGAGGGTTTCATGGCTGGAGGGTGGTGGAAGGGAAGGACATCCCAGGTAGGGCGTCCCTGGGTGAGTGAAGGACATACAAGGATGCACGGGGGAAGGTGACTTGAGAACACAACTGTGTGAAGTGGTTTTGACACGATGTATGTGCATGCATGCGTGTGTGTGTGTGTGTGTGTGTGTGTGTGTGTGTGTGTGCAGGGGTGGGAGGGTGGTGGAGAAAGACTTGTTGAGTCAAGTTTCTTTGTGTCATGATGCAGAGTTTGGATTTCATCGTATAAGCCTGTGATACACCATGTTTTAAATAATAATCTTTGAAATCAACAGTTATTGTGTTAGACACTGTGCTCAGTGCTCTGTTTGTTATCCTACTGAACCACCCAAACAAACAAAAAAAACCCAGAAACAAAAACATAAACATCTTTTTGTCAAGGAGGGGATGACAGAACAGAAAATCGACTTAACCAAAGTTAAATTAGTGGCAAGCCAGCAAGAGTCATAACACAATCATTAAGTGCCTACCGTGTGCCACACACTGTGTTAAACACTTCACATGCATCACAACCTTTAACCTGATCAGTAACTCTCTGGAAGAGGTGCTGTATTTACCTTATTTTACAGAGAGGTCATGCCTGGCTCCAGAGAAGAAAACTGACTGCATATTTATCACTGGAAAATGGAACCACTGGCTAAAGTTGTTGCCTGCCCAACAGCCAGCCTCCCTTCTTCCTGGCTTCCAGAACCCTGAACTTGGCAGCGCCGTGCCCAGACATAGGGGATGAGTTGTGATTGTCTAAGAGAGCTATGACGACTCCAGCCCTATTTGTCAGGGATTTGTCCTGTATCCTTCCTAACTTGTGACCTGTTGACGCCGAGGATGTTGGTTGGGGTATTCTGGGAAAGGTGTTCCTCCAAGATGAGAGAGAAGCATCTGAGGAGAGCTTCCTCCTTACTTTCCCTTTGTATTTGGATGCTGTCATGTTAGTATGTGATGCCTGGAGCTGTGGCAGCCGTTTTGAGGTCAAACCAGAAAACAAAAAGCCAAACGCAGTTAGAAAGGTAGAGAGAGCAAAATGATGGAAAGCGAGGCTTGGTGAATTTCTGACCCACTGAAACATCTTAGGGTACCTCTACCTCTAATCTCGTTAGGTGAGCAAGTGGTAAGTCATCTAGATTTTCTGCTACCTGCCACTAAGAGATGCAGAGCCTCCTCAAGACAGCCATTGACCTTAAATTATTTACTAAGTGAAAAGAGGGTTTGTGAATAAGCATGGATGCCCTGAGTTCTTGTGGTAATTCTGCTGCCCCGTGAGGTTCTGTGGCCATGGGGTAGAGACTACCCAGGTGTCCTTTGGTCCCCGGACCATGCCAGACCCTTTCCTGCCTCTGGGGGCTTTGCCCTTATTACTCTGTCTTTTCTGTACAGCAATTGTTCATCTTCACCTTCCTGGTTTACGGGAGGCAGAATAATAGTCTCCCAAAGATATCCACGTCCTAGTCTCTACCACCTGTGAATATGTGACTTTACATGGTGAAAGGGATTTTGCAGGTGTGATTAAATTGAGGATCTTGACATGAGGACATTGTCCAGTGCACTGGTCCACTGTTGTGTCCCCAAAGGGGCATTCTGCACAGGTGACACACACTCATGGGGCTCTCACTGGAGTCATAGATAATAATTCACAGACAAGAAATAAACAAGGTCATTTCATCTCATGGTAAGTGCTATGAAAAAATTAGAGTGGAGGGGGTGGAAGACAGCTGGGGAAGGGGGTCCACTTTTGCTAGCTGGGTCAGGGAAGGTCTCTCTAGGGGTGCAGGGCGACACTTAAACAGGCCCCAGAGGATGAGGAGGAGGGAGCCCTGCAAACATGTGGGGGGAGGGAGGTAGCTGACACAGAGGATAGCAAGTGCAAAGGCCCTGAGGAGGGTTCAAGCTGGGAATGTCATGTTCACTGCTGCATTGCATGGCTCCTGGCACACAGTAGATGCTCAAGGAATATTCATGGGAGGAATGAAAAAAGGGAGGGAGGTAGAGAGAGAAGGTGAGTTTTTCAAGCAAAGTCCTCAATGAACACCTCTCTTTCTCTCTCTCTCTCTGTCACTCTCTCTCTCTCTCTTTACAGACTGTGGACTGCTAGAACCAGCCTTCGACATGTAGAATGTTCTCTTTCACTCAAGGAAAGCAGAATACTCTCCGTCACAGGCGACAGATGGCATCCGTCCAATGCCTTCAGGTTGCCGCGGCTCCCCCCACCCTCTCCTCACCCCGCCTTCCTTTCTTTGCAAAGATGGATTCTGGTTGCCGCCCGGCCAATCCTGCTCCCCTTTAAAAAAGTGTAATTCATTATTCCAAGAGGAAATGAGCAAGGGTGGAAGAGAATTCCTCAGCTGCCTCCGTCCCAGGCCTGATGGCTCCAGGGCGCAGGTGGATTGATCATGTGTGGAGAGGTGGAGACAAATGACCCACTAAAATGGAGATATTAACACTGTCAGCCACAACAGTCAAAGCCCCTAGTCCTGTTGCCATATTTCAGGCTGCTCAGATGCCTGGCAGCCTGGGCTAATGACACCCATCCATCAGGCTGGGAGAGGTGCTGGTGCAGAGCGTTTCTAGCTAATGGGCTGTGCTGCTGCTTCAGACACTGGCAGAGGTTTTGGGGGGAGCTCGGTGTATGGGCGGGGGTGTGCCCTAGTCTTCTTTGGTAGACTCTGCTCTTGTCTGATCAACTCAGGGGTGTGGGCTGTGTTTGAAACTCCTAAGTTCACTCCCTTCCTGCCAGGTGTTTGGAGCAAAACACACATCAGTTTGCGTGGACCAGCTGTGCGCCCTTTGGTAAATTAATTAACCTCTCTGAGTCGCAAAGCCATCCTCTACAAAATGAAATGGAATGAAACCCACTTTGCAGGGGGGGCTTTGAGGATTAAATAAAATGATGATGTCAGGAATAAAGAGTAGGGGGTTAGGGCATGGGGTTAGCTCAAGCACCCCTAGGTGCCAGTCACAGCCAGCTGCCCCCCAACATCCGTTCTCCCTTTCTCTCTCAGAAGCTCCCATTTTTTTTTTTTATTATTTTTTTTTAGCTAAGCATACAATGGCTGATAAGGCTACATCTCCCAGCTATCTATGTAGCAAGGTGTGATCATGTGACTCAAATCTAGCCAATGGAACTTGAACAGCAGTGATGTCCACCTATAGCAGCCGTCCCCTTAATGGGAAGAGGTGCCTTACCCCGCCCCCTTTCTGGTGGCTGGAGTGTGAGCTTGGGGTGGTGGGAGCCACCTTGGGCTTTGAGGAAAGAATGATTTTGGGACTGGCAGAGCAATACGACAGGAGCCTGGGTCCCTGGTGCTGGCACAGTAGTCCTGGCGGCTTGTGGACGTTTTACATGAAAGATGAAACCTCCTTTGTTGAAGCCGCCATCTCCGGCAACCCCTACTCCCCTCCACAGAACCTGGGCAGCACTGGCCCTGCTGTGGCCCGCTGACCCAGCCCCTGCCGGAGACCACCCCACCCACACCGTCAGCTACATGCGTCTCCCATGGGCTTTGAGCAAATAAAAGATGTGGGTGAGTTTTCATGTTATGCGTGCATTAGCATTCATATTTCCTTTCTCCTCTGGCGCCACACCAGAGAGAACCCCCTGTCTTTCTTCCCCCAACCCCCGGCCCAGAGGAGCAATAATAACAGAGCTTTGGGTTGTTGAGAGCTCACCATGCACAGTTCCTCTGCTGGGTCCTACGTGCATATTCTCAGCAGCCAGTGACAGATAAGGAAAGGCAGCTCAGAGAGGAGGTGTCATCTGCTAACGGCCACACGGCCCTAAATGGCAGAGCTAGGATATAGGGCAAAACGCACTCTCCCCCGGGTCACATTGTTTTGTGGGAGCAGGGCTGGCAGTAGGGTGAGGTGAGGGAGATGCCTAGGACACAGAATTTAATGAGGCACCTCCCTCCTTTCACCCTCCTGGCACCATGCAGGAGGGTGACCCCAGACTAGCAGTTCTCAAAGGAGGAAAGGCCTGCCCCCTAGTGGGCACTTTGGAAATTTCTAGCCGTGTGATTTTTGTCCTAATGATTTGGGAACATTGCAGGTGGGGGCAGGTGTCCTGCCTCATCCCACACACCTTGGGCCTGAATGATTTTCGAATGCGCTGCCAGATATCCAACTAAGTACAAAACCCGATCATAATAACCTGAGCCTGGACTCTTAACTCCATTTTACATATAAATATAGAATACCATCGCATATAGAGGATGTTTTGCATGCTTTTAATAAAACCTGAATTTTCCAGGGGTGCAACTCCTGGGTAAGTCAAGGGAAGCCTGTATTTTGTTTTATTCAGAACCTTTCCATGAGCTGCCTAGCAGTTTGGAGAAGGCAGGTTAGGGCTGCAGCACCTCACCTGGTCCATGAGCGATGGAGGCGGCACACCTGTGTCGGTCTGCGGTTGCTGGGTCACGTCCACAGCAACGGCAGTTTGCATGCGGACATTCATATATTGAAGCCCACGTTCTTCTGAGCATAAATGACTTTCCCTCAATTTCTCCCTGACAGTACCATAGAGGCTGACCTTTTAGACAGGATGGTTAGAAGTAGGTTAAACTATCCAACCGTATTTCATTTCAGGACCATGAAGGGGTCATTTTAAAACACTTGCTGCCTCTCCAGTCGGGGGGAAGGCGGGCATATGGCAGTGGCTGCTCTGTGGCTGTCCCTGTCATTCTCCAGGTGAGAAACAGGGCCGGCATGGGGCTCCAGGCCGAAGCTGTTCTCCAGTCTAACTGTGATATAACCAAAGTGTAGCTTGATCGCTCATAAGCCTAGGGCACAGTTTTGTGCTATATCTGAACTTGAAGGAGTGCAGAGGGGCTCTAGACGGCCCCTGGGGCCTTGGCAGTGGGCTTCAGGCAGCCGCGCCGTACAGACACGACCTGGTACAGCGTTTCTGGAACCCCAGTAATTCCTGTGATAATTCATATGATCCACGCCCCAGTTTTGGCCATATCTATGACTATCATTTACTTAATGATTTTCCTCTTAATCGCTTTATTTTTAAAGTTAAAAATATATGCCTTAAGAAGGGGTGCTAAGAGTAAAAGCTGAAGTCCCCCGCAGGGCCCCAGGTACCTCCCTGACCTCACCTCCTGCCACCCCCCACTCGCCTGGTTCACATCTGTGGCCACGCTGGCTCCAGCTTTCAGACCTTTGCGCTTCTCCGTGTCTTTCTTGGAATGCCCTCCCTCTGATATCCACTAGGCTACTGCCCCTCCTCTTCCTCTGATGTCCTTGCTCAGATGTCACCTCGCATGGAGGCCTTAGACTGCTTCCTACACTTGCAACCAGCCCTGCCTCCAGAGGCTCCCCCCCGCGCCCCCCCATTCTCTACACTCTTTTACCCCCAAAGCTCTGCTCACCAGCTGACATGCACGTTACACTCATGTGTTTATTGCCTGTCATCGGGCTGTGAGCTGAGTGAGAGACGAGGGCCTTATTTGTTCTGCTCATGGCAGGATCCCCAGTGCCTGCAACAGTGGCCGGCACACAGTAGGTGCTCAGCTAATGGAGCTTACACACTAACTGGCGGATCTGTGGTTAAGCCACCGATCACACAGGTGATCCTTGCACGACAAGAGGGGACAAGGTCCTGAAGAAAGAACAAGGACAGCTGGGGCAGGGGGTCACAGGCAGGCCTGTGCTAGCTGGAGGGGTGCAGTGGGAGCTGGTTGGGGAACTCCTCCCAGAAGAAGTGCTGCTGAAGCTGAGGCCTGAAGGATGAGTTGGGAAGCGGGGGAGCCTTCCCTGTGGTTGAAACAGTACATACAAAGCCCTCTAAGTGCCCCTCTCCTGGGCCCCTCTCTCAGAGCCTAGGGGCCTTTCCACTTCTTATGGGTTTCACCTGCTGAGGCCTGAAATATTTTTGCATTTCCTTGAATTTGTTGCTGGGGAAGACAGGGGGAAACCAGGTCCCCCCAATTAAGCTCTGTGACATTAACAATCCACTTCCCAGGCCTCTGGGTGGGGGGTGGCAGGATTTCTGGGATGCTGTTGACAGGTCCAGACCCAGGACTTTGGCAGCTGTTTCTTTTCCAAGAACAGAGCTGCGGCCACCAGAACCCCCTGCCCCCTCTCCTTATGGGCCTAAGATCACAAATGCAGGACTTTCTTTTTCATTAGCTTAATGCCGTCTTTATTAACTGGGAAAGGTTCCTGGAACATATGATTAGTAAGTATTAAATAAAACACACACACACACACACACACACACACACACAACCAGCCCCCCACCAGCCTGCCCTGCCAGAGCGTCTCTGGGCTCCCAAGCAGTTGTCCCAGAAACAATCCAGGGGCAACTAGGGGCGGCAGCCAAGCAGAGTGGGATTTGCAGAAGGAAATTGCTCAGGCTGCTCTGCGATGTGCAAATGGGAATGGAGCAGCCAGAGAAGAGCCTGGGAAGGGGGGACCCAGCCAGGGACGTGAGGTGGAGGATTCCATGTCCGGAGCCCTGGAAACCACAGGACGACTCAGGGGAGGAGAAGCAGCCCGAGAGACGAGAGACCCAAGTACCTTTTTTGCTCCCTGCTCCTCTTCAACCCCGTCACCAATCACGATGTAGACGGCTTTCCTGCCGAATCGCTGCATTATCCTCTCGAAGCAGCTCTCCTTCCCTGCACACACGGAAGAAGGGGAGAAAGACAAGAAGCTCGGTGAGGACCAGAAGCCTGGTGAATAATGAGCGCCCATGCGGTGTCTGCTGTGTACAGCCGTCCTCCTCAGGGCCAGGCACTAGTCATTTCACCCTCCAGCAAACGTCTGAGGTGCGTGCTGCTATTATCCCCACATGACACATGACAACGCAGAGGTGCAGAGAGGTTAAGTGGCCTGCCCTGGGTGACACAGCAGAAGAGGCAGTGCAGGGCTTTGAAGCAGGCTCTGGAGTCTGTGCAGCAGTCTGGGGTAGGAGTGATGGACCCCTTTTACAGATGCGGATACGAGGCTCTGAGTGGTGAGGGTGACCTGTCCAGGATCCCAGAGTTAGGGAGCAGAGGTGCCGGCACTCACAGGTCCACCTGGATGACCACCTGTCTGTATTCTCCTTCTTCCCACTGTCTGGGCAGCAGCATAGATCCAGACACACTGGATTCAGATCTTAGTTAATCCTGATTGTGTCAGCAAGTTTAGTAACCATAACAATAGTGAAAATAGCAACAAGAGTAATAGTCATAGCTGTCACTCTCTGAGTTTACTATAGACCAGATGCTCTGCTAAGTGCTTCTGCTAAGCGCTTCACCTATTGTACATCAGGCTTTCTCGGCGGCGTCACTGCCATTTGGGACTGGATAGTTCTTGGCTGCAGGGGCTGCCCCGAGCACTGCAGGATGTTTAGCAGCGTCCGTACTCTCTACCCACTAGATGCCAGCAGCAACTCTTCCAGCTGTGAAAATGAAACATGTCTCCAGATGTTCCCAGATGTCCCCTAGGAGGCAAATTGCCTGTCCCCATCCCTGCTTTGCCACGTGTTGGGAAACACTGGCTTACATTAGTTCATTTAACTAACACGGCAATCCTTGTGAAACTGGAATCAACATAGTCCCCATTTTAGAGATAAAGAAACTGAGGATCAGGGTTGTGACGTGCCTTGACAATAAGTAGTGGGTGGAGAAGTTATAATAATCGTAAAATAGCTTCAATCTTTGAGTACTGGTGCTCTCCTGGGAACCGCTCAGTGTTTCACATGCACTATTTATCTTATGCTGGGAGGTACTGTGATCACCCATTTTACACATTGGGAAGCTGAGGTACAGAGAAGTGAAGTCGCTTGCCTTAGGGCACCCAGCTAGCAAGCACAGAGCCACGATTCGAACCCAGACTGCCTGCCCCAAGCGCATGAGCTCTGAACGCCTCTGTTATGCTGCTCTAGTAGCCATCGCCTCTGTTGCAGACCGTCTCCTGCTTGGCGGGAGCAGAGGCTGGGTCAAAGCAGAGGATCATAGCTGTCTTCTGAGTTAACAGAATTACACATCCCAGCCCTTTGCCACACCACTTTGCAGTGCTTCCCACAAGAGTAGGTGGAGCCTGTTCCCCACTCCATTGATAGTGCATTGGCCATGTGACCTGTTTTGACCAATGGAACGTCAGGGACCTGGCATGAGAAATGGGCATGGTTGGCTTGGTTTGGCCTCTTTCACTTCTGCCATCTGTCATGAGAAGAATGTGCCCCTGGATGGCCGCCAGTCCCGTAATGAGGAAATACGTGGAACAGACCAGAACCTGGAGTCGAGCCCGGCAGAGCCACAGCTGACTCACAAACCCATGAGTGAGAAAGAAAAACTGGTTGCTTGGAAGCCACTGAGTGTCGAGATGTTTGTTATGCAGCATTACCAGAGCAGAAACCTGACTATTGAAAAAAGGTATGATTTTTAAGTTAAAGCAGGAAGCTAGAGCTGGGAAATGTAGTCCTTAGCTGAGTGACGGCGAGCACAGGTAAAACTCATGGAATTCTGTTACTGGGAAGAGGAGGAAAACAAAGTCCTTGACTATTTCCAAGTCTTTGAACTCCAGGCTCCCCAGTGGGAAACAAGAGTCATGTGACCACTTCCCTGATGGTATTTGATTCCTCTGACATAGAGGTCCCATTGCAGAATCTCTAATGGCCATTTGGGGCCTGAATTTCTATGACTTGAACATGTAAAGGCATTTTAGACAATGTTCAGACCTACACCGCTAGTAAAGGCAAAATTGCTCTAAGAATACTCTTCTAAAGTACTATACATTAGTTTCTTGCTCCAGGAAAAAACAAGGGTAAAAGTTTCTAATTAAAAACAGCTTAGCGGGCCGGCCGAGTGGCGCGATGGTTAAGAGCTGGCTTGGGCCGCCAGAGGGCCCCGGTTCGGATCCCACATATGAGGGCCAGTGACACTGCCCTCCACAGCTAAGATGCTGAACAACAGCTCAACCTGGAGCTGGGCTGCTGTGAGTCGCCGGCAACGGCATAGGTTGCAGCCCCTGTGGCAGTGGCTTGCCATGGGCTACCGTGTGCAGCCAGCGTGAGCGGCCAGCAGCCGCAGTGAGCGGCCGTCCAGAAGCCGGCGACTGATCTGCCTCGCCTGGGAAGAGCGCAATGATGGTGCCAACTTGGGCCAGTGAAGCAACGTCCTCCACAACTAGACTGAAGAACAAAACGACAGCATCTTGTCTGTTCCCCTTCCCCCAATTCCCCAGCACTGTTCCCATCTCCCTGATTCCCCAATAAAAATCTTTAAAAAAAAAACAAACAGCTTAGCTAACTAGATTTATTTTGCATTATTAGGTGATATAAGAATTAAAAAAAAATCAGCTCCCCTCACGTAAAAAAATAAACCAGCCAGGATTACCTGCCCTGACGATAAATGATAAATTTGACTATCTCATAAAAGCTCTGAGCCTAAGGTCTGTTCTCTTTGTTAGTAAGGGGGATTAGCAAGTGTCAGAGAGGTGTTAGAGCAAGGCTGCCACTAAGTGGAGACTCTCTTCTTGAAAGAGAACTAAAAAAACAATTTTCTCTCTATAGGGTTCAAGGTTAAATTTGAGCTTATTTGATGACGTGTACCACCTAAATTAAAATCCCCTTATGTACCAGGCTGTGGTGGGAACTGTTTTCCTCTTCTTCCTAGTAACAGAATTCCAAGTTTCACCTGTGCTTAACAGCTATTGACTACATTTCCCAGCTTCCCTTGCAACTAGTGAGGCCATAGATTAAGATGGGCCAATAGGAGGTGAGCAGAAGTACTGTGCATCCCTTCTGAGTCTTGGCTTTAAAACATTGGGCGCACATTACTCCTTACTCTTTCCCCCCTTCCCACAGGCTGGAATGTTGATGTGGCAGGACCCTGATTTGACCACACATATGAGAATAACACCATGGGGGATGGCGGAAAATAAAATTGGAAGCACCTGGGTTCCTGGGTTAGTATAAGGAGAGGGTGACCCCATCAGCTGGGATTACCTTCTGGTCTGTTGACAAGTGAGAAAGAAATAAGCTTTGACTGTGGTGTAAACCCTTGCATTTGGGGTGTGTTTGTGAGAGCAGCTTTGCAGGTATCCCTTATACACACACTTTGGAAAACTGAGGTCCTAACCGATTTCCCTTGAAGCAGCGGTTCAAGCAAGTGGCTTGCGAGGGTAGTTTTGGGACTGAATCATGCCCGTGGACAAGTTCTTGAATGTCCCCAGTGCCGTTTTCCTTACACTTTCCATGCCCACGTCAGGATGGAATGCCGACCTCACCCTCCCTCCCTCCCTGCACCGCCCGAGGTCTGGGTTCCCCCTACCTGTCTTGGTTGCACTGTAGATGTTCTCAATAGGAAACACGGAGCCCAGTCCATACAGCAGGACTTTGGCCAGAGCAGGAATTAGTTGAGTGGTGGTGACCAGCACATTGACACAGTTGGGCCTGAGGACAAAGGAGACCGTGGATCAGAACTCCAGGGGACCCCAAGGTCAGGCCTTCTCACCCTGTGGCATCAGCCTGGAGCCAGCAAGAATTTGGGTGGGGGTTGGAGGCTCTGCCTAAGTCATCTTCAGCTGAGGGTAGGGCCCAAGAATCCTCCAGCTGTGTTTCTCTTTTAAGCCTGAGACTGCCTGACGTGCTGAAATGTCACATGAGTGTAATACTTTCTTCCTTAAAAAGCAAATGTTTGTTGCAAGGGCCACACCCTTAAATAGCTGCAGGGGCCTTTCCTTAATGTAAATGAGTGATATGAAACAAGTGTAGGGCATCAGGGAACTGGGGTTAAATTGGGGGGCACATGCCAGTTTTGATCTTCTGAGAGAGCCCAGAAAACTCGGAGCTATGGATGAACTTCCTCTGTCTTTGGGACAAAGTTTGTATCCAACAAAACACATGAGTAGCACAGATGCAGCTCATGGGCTGCCATTTTGTAACCATTCATGTGTTGGGTCACCAGATTTTTTGATGCGACCGCAGGGGAGTCATTTGTTCTCTGGCCCAGATGATCTTATTTAAGAGCAAGAGGCAATTTATTAGGAGGCCTAGAATGAAACTGGCCCCTCCTTCTCTCACTCGGGACCCACCAAGCAAATGACTGCGATGCCCTATAAAATGGTTTTCAGAGGGTGACATTGGAACTGGTGGGTAGATGGGAGCAGAGGGACCTGCGTACAAAGGTCTTTAGCTCTGCTGGGTCCTAAGTCACTGCAGCTGTTTGCTCAGTGATGGCGCAAGGTGTTCAGGGTGGTTTGCACACCTTAGCTTTATCAAAGGTCTGGAAAGTGTGCAAGTAAGAATTTGGAGAGGCCTCACTTCATAGTCGGTGCAGAGGCCTGACCACCGCACTGTATATCTGAAACTGATGTTGAATAATAATGTATGTCAACTATAATTATATATACATATAGTCATGGGACGTGGAGTAGGGAGTGGGAATGGCGTCAATGGAAATGTAATAGATAAGCATGATATCGGAGGTGGGAGGGCAATAGATGGGGGAGGGGGTTGTTACTTTGTGAGGGTGAAAAGGATAACTATTGAATTGTTCTGTACACCTGAAACTAACAATAAAAAAAAAAAAGATTTGGAGAGTCCTATTCCCCCTACTGTGGAAATGGGGGAGCCACCACCCTCAAATGGGAGAAAGTTCAGTGGCACAAAGGAAAACGAGGGCTCCCACTTACCGGGAATTGATGAGGTTTAGTGCCTTTAAGGAGTGGGTCAGCCAGAGGTCGGTCAGGGCTTCCAGCTCAGCTCTGAGCTGCAGCCAGGTCTCTCTTTTGGGGGCGCCTATCAAGCCTACAGACAACAGAGATAAAGACGTGGTAGCTATCGTTTTAGGAAGGTCTGGGACAGGGGTAGGAGTTGGGAAGGGGGGTCTAGCTACTGTACCTTGAGCTTTCAAATCAAGGTCAACTTCAATCCAGCGATCTTAATCTTATTTGGAGATTGATTGATTGATCAATATATCTCTTGATTGATCCATTCACCTACCCATCCACCCACCCATAATCCACCCATCCTTCCATCCACCCATCCATCCATCATCCATCCTTCCATCCATTCATCTATCATCCATCCTTCCTTCCATGCTTGCATCCATCCATCCATCCATCCAACAAAAAATTCAGAAGTGACTTCTGCATGGTCAATATTGTAAGAGGCACTGAACATACAAAGATAATAAACAAAACATGCCAATTATAGATCTTACACTGTTACAATGGAAACAAAAGTTTATAAAATAAAAAATAATAATGACTAACATTTATTGAGTGCTTACTGTGTGCAGGGCCATGTGCTTTTAACGAGGCTGATTTACATTCATTCTCCCAGCGGCCCTAGAGGCGGACACTCTTTTTACTTAGGAGATTTTTTAACATTGGGATAAATAACTGACATATAACATTAGGTTAGTCAGGTAAAGAAACGGAGGCTTTGTGACTTGCTCACAGCAGAGAGGAAATAGAGACAGGCTTGGCGTCAGGCAGCTGACCTCCAGAGCCCGCTCTATGACGTTTCTAAACCTGACTCATTCTCTCAGCCGTCAGGGCCCTTCAGATCAAGTTCAGACTCGATACTCATGACTCTGCCCCTATTTAGCTGCCAATATCCTCTCTTGCCATTGGCCGCATGTCCTTCCATTCCAGCCCGAGTGGCCTCGTCTTTGTTCCTTGAAATGCCAACTATATATGCTCCTGCCTCAGGACCTTTGCCTATCCCGTTTCCGAGCCCGGACAGATCTCTTCCCTCTCCTTTTTACCTGTCTAGAGTCTTCACACTCATCATCAGTGTCATTTAGTCATTTATTCTGGAAGGCCTATTGTGGTCAGTTTGTTCTATTTTGTACTCTCCTAACACACTGTACCTGTTTGTCCAGAGCACTCTTCACAGCCCTAATTTAAAATGTATCTGTGTGATTATGTGCTTGATGTCTGCCTTAGTCATTAGACTGTGCGCTCTGTGAGTGCAGGGACCAAGGTGGTCTTGGTCACTGCCAGAGCAGGGGCTGGTATAGGGTCGGTGCTGAATCTGTTTGTTGAAGGAAGAATGAATTCACTGGGACCAAGTGCTGCCTTGTGCCTGTGCGATTTAGACATCATCTTCTTCACGTGGAAGACCTCAGCTGTGGCAGACAAGGCCCGGCGCCACCTGGGCACCATCACCTCTCTCATCCCATCCTTTATTCTGTGCCCCCTCGCTCCAGCCACACTGGCCTTCATCTTCCTGAAAAGCATCAAACTCCTTTGTTCGTGGAGCTTTTCATTTGCTATTTGTGGTAGACACTGCTAGATTCTTTAGTAATTAATAAAAATATAAAGAAAGTCTTCTTAGTAAGAAGACCCTGAGTTTTAGCTGCGTGCACGGCTGCCAGGCTACATCCCTCAGGGTCCATCCGGGGCCTCACCAGGCTCGTTCTGTGACGCAGGAGCAGCTGGGGGATGTGGGGGGAGGAGGTAGCACAGACTGTAAGGGGGGGGAAGGGAAGAAGGGGGGTGCCCACTGGCATCCTGCCAGCTGTGAGCTCCTCGTCTGTTGACACATTGGGCAATTTCTCCTCGGTTTATGGGAAAGCAAAGCACCCTGACAGAAGGCCTGGGCATTTCCTGGGGCTTAACCTGGATGGGGAGCAGATGGCCTCCGTTGGCTGACTCCATTCCTATCTCCCCTACCCCAAGCACACCTGCTCCCCCACTTTCTCCATGTAGGGGTGGGTGAGCCTGCAGGGCTGAGCCTGAAACTCTGTTTCACTCCTGTAGTCAACAGGCTTGGATGTGAGAGACCACAGGGTGTGGGCAGAGGTGGTGGAGTGGCCGGCCTGGGACTCCACCATGGCTCTGCTGCCTGGGCTGTGTGATGCCGGGCAGTTTACTGAACCTCTCTGATCTCAGTTTCCACCTTCACACAACATCGATGATAGAAGCATTTACCTTATAGGGATGTTGTGAACAGCAAAGAATCTTATTAGATGACAAGTCCACAAAATAAAGTCTGGCAGAGAGTAAGCGCTCAATAAACGTTAGTTATTGCCAGCACTGCATTACTCTGCAGCCACGGACAAGATGGAAACATCTGTCCCAAGGAGCTGATGGTCTGTTGGGGAAAGCAGAAGACACAGAGGAGCCCAAAAGACTCCAGAGCAAAAGTGAGAGGCTCTAGCGATAAATGCTACTATTTCTTGAGTGCCTGCTACACGCCAGGCAGGGAGACATGCCTTTTGTAAACATCAACAACCAACCTCTCCATCATTCAGGGACGCAGAGCCATTCTTAGCCCCATTTCCTAGACCTAGGAACTGAGGCTCAGAGACTATGTATCTTGCTTAAGGTCACATAGCTAGTAAGCATCAGCTCTGGGACTGAAAGTGGATTCTGTCTAGTTTGAGACCCTAAATTCTTCCTGGGACTCTACTCTTGGGGGTGGGGGGAGGGAGCCCTTGAAGCTTTTGGGGTCAAGGTGTATATGGCAGACACTATGAGCTGCCTACTCAAACCTTTTCCCTCTAGGGGCCAATAGCTGGTTCCAGATATTGGGACAATCAAACACACCCCAAATGCATCCCGGGGAGGAGTATCACCTCGTGTTAGGAACTACTGGCCTAGAGAATTCCTAGAGAAAAAGTGATGTAGGGCCTGGCCACTGCCGAGCCAACCAACCCTGCCCCCGGCCCCCTCCAGACTTCTTGTTCAGTGCTATAAAGCAATGCTCTCCGGCTACCGACGCCGGCAGCTCTCAGCTCGGCTGCATGTTAGGATCCCCCAGGGCTCTGCGAGTCCCGATGCCCAGGCTGCAGCCAGACCAAGAAAATCAGGTCAGAAATTCCTCAGGTGTGCCAAAATGAGCCAAGTTTGAGAACCGGTGGCTTCCAATGCTTCTCTAATTTTAATGTTTCCACAGATTACCTGGGGGGTCTTCGTATATCACAAGCACCCAGGTGACGCTCATGCGGCTTGTCCACGGACCACACAGTTCAAGCACGAGGGCTGAAGCCGCGGGTCCCCAAACTCCAGCGAGCGTCAGCATCACCCAGAGGGGGTGTTAAAATCCAGATATCCGGGCCCGCCACAGAGCCTCAGAGAACCTACACTTCTAACGAGTCTCCAGGTGACACTGGCGCTGCTGATCCGAGGACCACACTGTGCGACAGACCCCCTGGTTGTGACCAGACCCCATGTCCCCCCTCCACCATTGGTGGGGTGTGTCATCTCTAGCAACATGCTTCCTCCCCTGCCAAGTGACGGTGATGAGGCAGAAGTGCCCTCTCCCAGAGCATGTCATGAGGACTCCGCGGAGTGAGCTGGTGTTTCTAACCGTCTCACAGCAGTGGCTGCCACAGAGCAGGGGCGACGTTCATGACAGTGTCTGTCCTTGATGAATGTCCCCGGGTCCTTCAGGAGGCAGCCCGAGCTCGGGCAGACCCGTGACCCTGGGGGCGGCCCCCTCACTCACCGCCCACGTTGTTCTTGTAGGTGTTGTACATGTCCTTGACCCGTCGGTAGCGGAAGGCCAGCTTCCTCATCCAGTCCACGCCGCCGTGGACGCCGGTGCCCAGGCACAGGTTGGCTCCCGGGGCTGCACTGTGGAAGCCGTCGGCGGAGAAGTTGTACGTGCTGGGGACGGGGAAGGGGACAGGAGAGGGAGAAGAGACAGAGTTAGGGTGGGGCTGTTCACCAGCGGGGGCTGAGGGCGTCCACAACCCCCTGAATGTGCAAGAGCGCTGTGTGCGTGTGAGTTCGGGGAAGAGCAGGACCACAGCCCTGACCGGCTTCCCAAAGAATGGTGGCGTCTTATGTGCTCGCCCAATCAGCGTCCATTTCCCTTTCTTTTAGGCTCAAAGAGCATGTCAGCCTTCTTTTACGGAGAAAGTGCCCCCTCTGTCCCAACCCCTCCTGCTCCCACCCAGGCAGTGGCCAAGCTAAGGAAAGCCTCTCTCTCTTTCCCTTTACAATTCAAGGCTAGAAGAGAATTCAAAAAAAAAAAAAAGAAAGAAAGAAAGAAAGAAAGAAAGAAAAAGGTTGTGTTTGGATTGGGTTCATCCTGACAGAAGAATCCGGGAGAAAACCTCATGTAGTTCGTGCTCCTTTGACCCCAAATCTGCCTTGAATCCGCTCCTGTCTAAGGCCCGGCTGCTGACCTTTCTTCCTATTCTGTGAGCATCTCCACACCTTTCTACAGAAATTCCCTGTTTTAATTTTTTTTTAAATGTATTAAATCAGGCAGGGTCAATTGCGGGTGCCTGGCAGATATAACCCTCCACCCCCATGAAGCCTGCTGGGCTAAGAAGTTCTACTCCTGAACTGGAGACGAGCCAGAGCATCCTACAAAGTCAACGTCAAAAGTGGCAGCTGGGGGCCGGCCGAGTGGGGCGATGGTTAAGAACTCGCTTGGGAAGCCAGAGGGCCCCGGTTCGGATCCCACATGTGAGGGCCAGTGACACTGCCCTCTATAGCTAAGATGCTGAACAACAGCTCGACCTGGAGCTGGGCTGCTGTGAGTCGCCGGCGACGGCGTAGGCTGCAGCCCCTGTGGCAGTGGGTTGCCATGGGCTA